ATTTTGCTGAAAGAATATCTATCAGCTTAATTTTTATTGGCAATTCTTACTAGTTAACTTGAATCTGATAAAAAAAATGATCTAAGCTTAATTATAAGCCAAGTGTAAGTTAAAATTTTGTTTGCTAATGTTGTGCTATATTGCATTATACTGTAAGTATTTTTATCTTTTATTATTTTAAAAATGTGTAAAATATTAATTGAAGTTAATAAAAATATATAAAAATTAATTAAAATTTATTAATAATTTAAATAAAATACACTATGTAAAAGAAAATTTAGGTCAAAAACCAACAAACGGAGGCTAAATGGATTTGCACGGATCATTTTGCATAATATTTTATTTAAAAATATAATTTATAATTAAAAATTTATAAAAATTAATTAAAATTAATTAATAATTTAAATAAAATACACTATGTAAAAGAAAATTTAGGTCAAAAACCAACAAACGGAGGCTAAATGGATAATAACTCACGCACCAAAGCAAATCTTATCCGAGAGTGGCAGACTGGCAGGTGCATGCACTGGCGGACTGTATCAAATGCTTATGGAGGTTTTAAACCCAAATAGCAATCGATGGAATCCATAATCCATATTATTTTTTATCACTCAACTCTGCTAGTTGATTGGATTAATATTTTTCCAGTTCTGTAATCTATATGGACATGTAGGAGTAGGATCAAATCTGAAATCCATTACCTATTTTCAAAAAAAGAAAAAAAGAAAAAAAAAAGGGGATCAAATCTGAAAAAATCGTTGAGGGAATTAGTTGTCAGAAAAATCAAGATTGGTTTTTGAGATGAAAATGACTTGGGTGTGACAACATGAGTAGACGAGCTCACGGGATTCTTCCATATATCTCCAGTCTCTCAGCCCACTGAAAAACAAGCCTGATTTAAATAAAATAATATTCAAAATTGGGGAAAATTTTAAACATGTTCATGAATTTTGTTTTCTTTCATTCATCATGAATTTTCATTTTTCTTGATCTTGTTGACTGTTTGGTTGATTATCAAGCTAATGATTAGCTTAAGTCAAATTTAAGCTAAATTAATCGACCTAGCTAGAGGGGAGACAAATTAAGAGATGTAGTGTGTGTGTATGTATGGTTTTGTTTTTAATTTATTTGTGTTCACGGGAATGTTTGTGAAGCTAACAAGCATTCACGTTGGGCCACCTCCTTTTGGTCTTCCATTGCCTGTTGGGGTTTCTCATTCTTTTCAATTAATCCATATGTTAACCTTACCTCACGAACTCACATGTATATCCATGTAGGTTTGCAAATTTAAAAAGTCTTTATAGAAAGTATTAATTGAATCAAGAATTCATATAAAATATTTTTTTATAAAAAATTATTAGTTTCAAAAACTTAAGGATAAAATTTCTCTTTCAAAAAGGTTATATAGGTTTGTAACTTTAGTTAAAAAGTGATTAAAAAAACAAAACCACTTTTCAAGAAGAAAAAAGTGTCATACAATTAAAATTATATTAGATTGTATATAATATTAACTATTAGATGGGATTAAATCCTATATCATCTAATGAATTTTATTTTATAATTTGAAGCAATTGAAATTATAAAATTGAGTTTGCTCTCAAAAAATTACTATCATATATTAGGTTTTTTTAAAAACAAAAAAAAAAAATAATATGTAGTTTGTCTTATGTAGATTACATAATCTATTGCCATTAATGGGGGACAAGCTTGTTAATGTTGCACTGATCTAGTTATAAAATATGTAATTTACATAAAAAACTTTTTTTTTAATGTGATAAAAATACCACATAAACAGTATCATTCTCCATTAAAACGATGGTATATCATTTTAAACATGATAGATTGGTTAATTGGCTTTAATTAATGAAATAATACAATTTTAACATGGTTAAGATCGAGTTTAAAATGTGCAAAAATTCTTTTGTTATTTTCGATGAAATTTCGTTTATAATTCTACAATGAAGGCGTCCGAGCTGACACCTCCATCAACAGTTCACCAGTTCTCGCCTTTGTTCTTCGTCTCAATCTTCAATGGCAGGACATGTGCGTACAAAGAAGACCATGGGTTGTGGTTGAGTCCAATATTGTGCTGGAGGTCTGGTGAGGGATCGTTGAGAGTTGAGACAATGGAGGGGGGCACACCTAGAGGAACATAATGGCAATTACAATAATTATGTCAGCCATGACACACATGCACTTTAATTTCATATAGCTAAATAATCAACTACAATATCTCATCCTAACTTTAAAAAAAAGAAGGAAAAAGATCTTTGAATTTTGAGGCATGTTTGGTTCGGCCACAGACTCTCAAAATTTTGATTCAAAGAAGAAAATATAATTGAAATAATCAAATGGACATTAATCATCAACTTGTAATTAACGTTCTTTAGTTTGCAGCACATCTTCCCAATTCTGCGCAATGAATTCAATCCTTCAAATTGTAAACCCTATGTTTATCCTCTGAATTTGCCCACTAGACCTCCAATGACGATGTTAACCACAGCCAATGAGCACGAAATAACTAGCGAGCTGCAGGTGACACGCTTAACAAGACCGAGATGGAGAACGAAGGGAAGGCGAGATCTATCTTACTACTGATGATGGAAGTTTCAGGTCCGAGGCCTTCATCCTAGAAGATAAACGAAATCTTATCGAAGTTAACAAAAAGAACTTTTTAACATTTTAAACTCTATTTCCATTAAAATTGTATTGCTCCGTTAGTTAAAGGCTATTAGCCAATGTATCATATTTAAATGATGTATCATTATTTACGTAGATAAAAATACTGTTAATGTAGAATTTCTCACACACACAATAAACTCTAAAATTGCCAACTCTTTAAAAAACCAAAGCCAAACAATAACTAATAAATCGAAGAAGATAACTAAATTAAGAATTAGCTAGAAGAAGAGACAAAATTGAGAAGACCCATAGAAGAAGAACACGTAAAGCACAGAAATAGTCTAGGCGCCGAATCAACAAAATTCACACGCTCTGGCGGCGATTGGTCGTTGTCGTGTTTCACAGAGAGGTATATTGTAGGGACCCAGTGCCCAAGCTGCAGGTCTCTCTGGTTTGTTCTTTCTGGCTGGACCTTAGACTTTTTTATGCTATAATACTTCCCATGTTTGGTTCAATTAATCTTTGCAAAGAACAAATAGATGGCCAGAAAAAAAAATAAAAAAATCTTTGCAAAGAACAAATTGCTTTTGGCTCTTAAAGATTTGATGTTGAAACCTATAGGGACATTTTCGAAGCCAAATAATTTCCAATCTGAGGACAAAAAATATGTTGCATCATGAGGATAAAACCAATTTCACAATCTTATAAGCTAATAATGAGTAGATATATATTGCATAGGATTCATGAATAAAAAGAGTTAAATAAATATTAATATATCATATTATAAATTTATAATATTATGCATGTGATATTATAACTATAGTATTTTTAAAATCTATAATTATATAAAAAATCAAACCCACAAATTGTCAGTTGGTTTAGAATCATTGGTTCAAGTTAACATATCATTTGACGTTTATTAAACCAATGGTTCTATTTTGGATCCGTATGAACACAAATACTGATCATGATCAGTAAAAAAAATTGTCAGTTCTAGAGATGCCAAATTAAGAGTTATTACACTAAGATGCCTTCAATATATATATATATATATATATATATATATTATTGGTTGGAATGACACTATACACGCGTGTACGTTGCCGATTGGATTCATTCATGGCTATCAATTAATTACCTCTTAACCAAGTACTTGGAAGGCTATTATTAATATAAACTCAATAATAGCTAGGTGCTTTCTCATATTACTGAGATATTCGTATACCAATTTATTATTTTTAATTACATACTTAATTAGTTCCTGATCTGTTGGTTCGCTTGGGTATTATAAATTTGGCACGCTGGCTATCTCATTCTCTTCACATCTCACTTTCCTAGCTAGCATATCTCAGTTTCTTCTCCTTTTTTTGCCTTGACTTCCCTTTTGACGTTGTCCAAACAGAGAATGGGAGGAACATCACCGTGTGCTTCCTGCAAACTCCTCCGTCGCAGGTGTGCCAAGGATTGCATCTTTGCTCCTTACTTCCCTTCTGATGACCCTCAAAAGTTTTCCATTGTTCACAAGGTCTTCGGTGCTAGCAACGTTAGCAAAATGTTGCAGGTCCTCTCTTTCTCCCTTGCTTATTTTATTTTTGATAAATTAAGTTAATATGCTTAGCTATTACAGAGATTTGAACAGCTAATGCAGAGGTTCGGAAGTTAAAGAACCAACACACGCTATTTTATGATAACATGCTGACTAATTTTTATATGTAAAACAGGAGCTTCCGGCTCATCAGAGAGCGGATGCAGTGAGCAGTTTGGTCTACGAAGCGAATGCAAGGATGAGGGATCCAGTCTATGGGTGTGTTGGTGCCATATCTTACCTCCAGAACCAGGTGTCTCAGCTACAAATGCAGCTAGCCGTGGCTCAGACGGAAATACTGTACATCCAGATGCAGCAAGAACCAGTGATGCCAGCCCCGGCTTCCCTAGGCGAGCCAGACGACAAGTCGTTTCTGCTCCACCCTCAGGCGTACCTTAACTTTGCTTCCTCTTCTAGCAATGTAATTCACGACTCTCTCAAGCGAGAGAGCATCTTTGGACACGACATGGTCTCTTAATAAAAACTAAACCAATATCCACCGTTTTTGTTTCAAGACTCCCCTTTTTATTTTTTTATTTTTTTAAAGGGTCATTTTTGCCTTTTGATATAAATTTTTAAATAATATCATTAAAAAAAGATACATAGACGTTAAATATAAAAAAAGAAGTAATTAACTTGACAAGGTCAACTCTAGCATGTGAGAAGTGGAGTGAACTGGACTTTTCTTGCATTATTGCTTAGAATCAACAAACTTTAGGTTGATCAATTTGGAAAAAAGACCACACACAATCATGCCATAAGAAAACATTCATATTAGAACATAATAAATTATTATGGATGAATTCATTGAGTATCGTGTGATTAATTGGTTATTATGAAACTAAACTAAGATAAAATGTAGATCATGCAAAAACAAACATGAGAGAGAGAGGTAGAGAGAGAGAGGGGTAAGAGACAGATGACATTCATGGGCAAGACGGATGACACTGAATTAAGAGCATGTAGGATCTTATGGAAGAAGCTAACAAAGAAGGATTGAATCAGTGGAAAAGAGGCAAATGCAGTATGATTAGTACCAAGCTTGTAAGTTGCAAAAAGACGAATCTTACGATAAGGGATTGTACAAACAAGCCATACCTTATTTCTTCTCCAACTTTCTAGACGATTGGAGTTATGCAGACATGTGGAGAGCCTTTTTAAAATTTGAAAGGGTGTATGAGATCTACAGTCCAAACGAAAAAGGTAGGAATGGAAGCAGATTCGGTTTTGTGAGATTTTTAGAAGTTAAAGACAAAAAGGAGTTGAAAAGGCAGCTTGTTTAGATTTGGGTCAGAGGCCAAAAACTATGGATGAATATCCCAAGATATGATGATGTGAAGAATGAAGGTTGGGAGTGAAGGAAATATAAGCAATGGAGCCTAAAGTTCAAAACATAAGTTATGTTAATGTGGTAAAGGGTCTGCAAGAAAGAGGATCAATAAAGGCAAGAAGAGCTCAGCTTAAGCCAGATCGAGAAAAAAGACAAGCAAGAAGCAAAAGCAGAACTAAGTGTAGATAGCGAAGGACGAGAAATAAAAAAAGGGTGGCATAAAAGAGGAAAGGGAGAAAACTAGGTTGGAATTGAGTATAATGTCAAACCTAAAGATTATGCATGGCTTGGTGGATGTTATGTGGGAATGGTTCATTTTGTTGAGATGGTTCATAATCTATAGGAGAAATTCTTTATGAAAGGATATTTCTCTTGTTGAATTCATGCCATGGATGGTAAACTGGTTCTGTTAGACTGTGAGGACAAAGTAGAACTAAAAGATCTAGTGGAAATGGCCTCAAATTGGCTAAGCCAATGGTTTGAAGAAGTGCACCCTTGGACACCAAAAACAAGTGCTAACGAGAGGTTCATATGGATCAAGTGTCAAGGGGCACCATTGAATGTATAGGGACTGAACTTCTTTGCAACCATGGGTTGTTCTTGGGGAAAGTTTATTTGCTTGGAGGACAACACAAGCAAAAGAACATGATTCGACATTGCTAAATTTCTGATCTCTGCCCCGATTATGAACAAAATAACGGTTTTGCGACAAATTAAAATCAATGGGATCCTATATAATGTTAAGTTCACAAAGGAGGAATTTACCAACATTTTCTTCTCCTTGAAACAAGACTTTATGCCTTCATTTTAGAGCAATTCAGAAGAACATGAAGAATGGTCCACTGAAAGCGATAAGGAGGAACAAGCAATTGAAATTGTAGGGATCAAAGAGTAGGCTAATGAAAGATGCTCAGAGGAATAAGATGATGACATGCCGAGTTGTAAGAGAGGGGAGAAAGAGAAGCTTCAAAAACAAGCTACATTGGGGAAAGAGAAACTGGTAGATATAGTGGTGGACAACTTGGAACAAATTCAAAATTTGATTGATGTAAAAAACAAAGTAGGGGTAGAGGGGGTGGTGTAAAAGTAAAGAGGCATTGATCTGTAAGTTAAATTAGATGAAGAAGAGGGGGACTACTTGGGCCTTAGAGAGCTAACTAGTGTGAAACAAGGTGGGAAGCCCAGTACACAGATTGAAAGCCCAGATTTTGAGGAATCCACTAACTTGGGTTTGATCCAAACACAGAGATTATGAAGGAAAATATAAGCCCAGTAACAAATGCAGACCATTCTAGAAATAAGAAGGTTGCAGATGTCAGCATTAGAAGTGAAGATGAAGACTCGTTCTGGAAAGGATATCAAAGCGAATAAGGATGCCTAGAAGAATGGATTAGTAAGCAAACAGGTGAAAGCTCAATGAAGAAGAAGAGAAGAATTAAACTATGCAGCTCAATATATTTGAAAACAAGAGCTGTTGTTGCGGGTTCAAAACCAAGGAGAAGATGAGGAAAATAGAGCATGCAATCTGTGGAGGGGAAATTTGTACCAAAATTCCTGGTGAGCCCAAATGGGAAAATTGTGGGTGAATTAGTGGGTGATAACAGAATTCAGAACTATAATAAAAGCCTAAAGAAGTAGATGTAGAAACAGCTAGCAAAGGAAATTTGGGATCTAGCGAAACAGTTGGGAGCAGTGGCAGAGCATGATGATGGGATCATTCAAAGAATTGAGGATATGGAGAGTAGAGATAGTCGAGCAAAAGCGAACAGGGCAATTCAAGTTACCGGGGGTGGAAGGAAGGTATGTAAAGCTCCTGATGATACTGTTGTCTGTTAATATTACAGGGCTTGGAGGGGTTGGGAAAAAAGACAGATTAGGGAATTGGTTAGGAAAGAAAAAATAGAGTTTTTAGCTATCCAAGAGACTAAGCTGGAAGCAGTTAATAGAAGCATATGTAGAGGGGTTTGGGGAATAGAGGATATGGATTGGATTTCAAAGCCATCGGTTGGCTTGTCTAGTGGCTTATTGTGTGTTTGAATCCCTAAAGTGTTAAAGAAGATAGAGGTTGTGGAAGGGGATAATTTTATTGAGGTGTTTGGATTATGGGGGGAGGAGGAAACACCCGTGTGTATACTAAATATTTATTCTCCTTGTCAATTGATGGGCAAAAGAGCTTTATGGGAGGAACTGCAGTGCCTAATTTCTACTAGAAATGGGAACTGGTGTCTAGCAAGGGATTTTAATGCTATGAGGAGTACAAAGGAATGAGCAGGGTGTAATGGGATGTCTACAGAAATGAGGGAGTTTGATGACTTTATTCATAATACTGGATTGATAGATTTGCCTTTGGTAGGTAGGAAATATACTTGGTACAACTCTAACGGGCAGTATACGAGTAGAATTGATAGATTCTTGGTTTTGGAAGGTTGGATTTCAAAATGGTGCAATGTAAAGCAATGGGGCTTGCGGAGATTAGTGTTGGATCATTGCCCTATCCTGTTGAAGAATAAGAAGGTTGATTGGGGCCCAAAACCATTTTAATTCTTCGATGCTTGGTTAGAGTAGCTTGGATGCAAAGAGGTGATAAAAAACTCATGGAATTTAAGTGAAATAAAAGGGGATAATAGATACAAGCTTAAGGAGAAAGTAAAAAGAACAAAGAAAGCCCTGAAGGAGTGGAGTAGTAAATTGAGTGCAAATGTGGATGGCAAAATAATTGAAGCAGAAAATGCGATGGCATCACTAGATGAACAAGGACAAAAAAACCTATTGTCTACTAATGACATTGAAAAAAGGAGAATTGCTTTCTTGATCTCTGGAAGAATTTAAGAATCAAAGAGAGAATGTGGCAACAAGCGTCAAGAATGATGTGGTTAAAAGAAGGGGATGCAAACACAAAATTTTTTCATAGATGTGTGAAGGGAAGATGTAGAAGAAATGAAATCAATTATATTCAAATAAGTGGTGAACAACATACAGGTGTGTCTAAAATAAAAGAAGAAGTTGCTAAGTACTGTGACAAATTGTTTACTGAAGAAGAATGGCAAAGACCAAAGCTTAATGGGATGAGTTTGAAATAGATATCCAAGGTAGATAAGGGGTTCCTCACAACCACATTTTCTAAAAAGGAAATCAAAAAAGCAATCTAGGATTGTGGATCTTCAAAATCTCCATGTCCAGATGGATTCAATTTCATATTCATGAAGGTGATGTGGGAAGACATAAAATCAGATGTCATTGATTTTGTATAAGAGTTCCAGAGGCACGGTAGACTTATCAAAGGGTCAAATGCCTCATTCATTGTCATGATCCCAAAAGTTGAAAACCCTCAAATAATTGCAGACTACACACCCGTCTCGCTCATAGAAGTCATGTGCAAAATTATTGCAAAATTGTTAACGAACCACTTGTGAAAGGTGCTTCTAAAGGTCATTGTTGAGCAACAGATGGCATTTATCGAGGGTAGACAATTAGTGAATGGAGTTGTGATCGCAAATAAAGTTATTGAGGAGGCTAAGAGAAAGAAAAAGAAAAGCTTTCTTTTCAAAGTTGATTTTGAAAAAGCATATAATAAGGTGTGCTAGGAATTTATTGAATATATGATGATGAGGATGGGATTTAATGCAACTTGGAGAAAATGGATACATGAGTGTCTAAAATCAAGCTTGGTTTCAGTTCTCATTAATGGAAGCCCAACAAAACAATTCTCGGTTAGCAAAGGCATAAGACAAGGTGACCCGCTATCCCTTTTCTTATTCTTAATTGTGGTAGAAGGATTGAATGGGTTAGTGTCCTCTACAATGGAGAAAGAACTTTATAAAGGAGTGACAATAGGTCATGGAAGAGTCACGATTTCCCACTTGCAATTTGCAAATGATACTCTTTTCTTTGGGGAGGCATTAGATGACAATATTGGGGTTATTAAAAGCATTATGAGGAAATTTGGGTTGGTTTATGGACTTAAAATTAATTTTGAGAAGAGCCAGTTAATGGTGGTTGGAGTTGAGGACAGCTAGAGAGAGAAAATGGCATACAAATTGTGTTAAAAAGAAAGGGAGCTCCCATTTAAATATCCGGGGATCCCAATAGGCAAAAATCACAGAAGAATAGCAATGTGGTAGCCAATGGTAGAGTAATTTAAAAAGAAGCTAGCTAGTTGGAAGGGTCAACACCTTTTCTTGGGAGGTCGTATCACACTCATCAATTCAGTGTTGTCTAGTCTACTCGTGTTCCTCATGTCAATCTACTTAACCCCCAAAGGTATACTCCATTCTATTGATAAAATTTGTAGAAGTTTTTTATGGGGTGGAGGGGGCGAAGAGAGAAAAACAAATTGGGTCGGTTGGGGTAAGGTGTGTAAAAAAAAAAAAAAAGAGGAAAGTGGGTTGAGAGTGAAGGAATTGAGGAAGATCAATTTGGCTTTGATGGGAAAATGGTGGGGATGACTTGTAGAAAATGAAGAGGGATTATGGAAAAAAGTAATTGTAGACAAATATAAGGAGGGAAGGGGTCATTGGCTGGATTGGATTAAATGATACAGAGGAGTAGGTTTTGTTTGATAGAGGGATGTGTGCTACCCCAATACAATGGATAGGGAGAAAGTAGGTTGGCTGATGGAGGAATGTAGGATAAAGTTAGGGGAAGGCAAGAGTGTTAGCTTTTGGTGGGATAATTGGTGTGGGGTAGGTTGTCTTGCTAACAAGTATCCTAGATTGTATTTATTATCAACAAGTAAGGAGGACACGTGTTACCAAATGGGCAACAATAAGAATGAACCAGGGAGATGGAATCTCAGATGGAGAAGAACACTATTTGATTAGGAAGTTGATGATGTTATGGGACTCCAAAACTTGATAGACAACATGAAGATCACACATGGATGCCTCGATATGTAGGAGTGGGTTCATGACAAGGACGAACAATACTCAACGAAAACAACTTACTCACTTGTAATAAAAGAATAGATGGGTTCAACTGAAATCTCAATGTTCAAAAGAATATGGAATCACACCCTTTTGAGCAAAGTTTTTACTTTCAACTGGTAGTTATTGCTAGATAAAATTCCAACCAAAGCAAACTTGTTGAGTAGAAGGATTGTTAAAGACACGAGAAAAGGCAAATGCATTCTTTGTGATGAAGAATAAGAGGACTCTACCCATTTGTTCTTGAAATGCAAAACAACCAAATGGGTGTGGAAAACGTGTGCTAAGTGGTGAGGGACCAAGATAACGTTGGAGAAGGATTGCTGGAAAACTTTTGAGCATTTTGGGAAATGGAGTAGAGACTCACGCATCAGAGAAGGTTGGGATTGCATTTGGAATACTGTAATTTGGTCTGTGTGGCTTGCTTGAAATCAAAAGATTTTCCAAAACAAAGAGATAGATTCGAGAAAGCTACTAGAAGCTATTCAATTGAGATCTTTTCAATGGGTCATAGCGAGAATAGACAGGTATGCCTTTACTCTATCAGATTGGCTTATTAACCCAATAGAATGTCTTAAAGGTAAGCATGCTGGAAGCAAAAAAAGGGAAGGAAAGGTATGAATGACAAAATACATTTTGTTGTATGGTTTTTTGCTTAGTGTAAAATGGATTTAAGTATCTCTTGTACTCATTTCAATAATAAAATCGAGATTTGCTGAAAAAAAAAATTGAGATAAAATATTGTGTGCATATTAGAACAGTTATAAAAAGTAATTTTTTGTAAGTTGGTATAATAAAAGTATAGTCTATATTATGAATTTATTAAAATATTTATAATAAAAATTTTATATTAATTAAATTGATAATATTTTGATAATTTAAACATTCCCACTATATTTTTATTACATAATCTAATCTGAAAAGTATGAAACTATTAAATAGGTTACATTGGGTGCTATTTATTTGAAGGTGTTTTTTTAGTTTCTTCCTGAATTATGAATATGGTTTCTGTAATAATTAAACTTGTAGACCATGTGACTAATGGTAGAAAGAGGGGAAGAGAAAGGGACAAATTAGAGGTAGTAGCACGTGGCACCTAGTTGCACATTCTCACGTGGGAGGATGCGGAAGGTAGTGGTCCGTTCATGGAAGTAGTATGGTAGCTAGAAAAGAAGATAATTTTGCTTTGGCAAAACCTTATATTAAGCCCCAATTTTACCTCAAATTTTTCATTAAGCCCTTAAATTTTTATTAAAGTAAATATACCTTTAAACTTAGTAATATAGACAATTTAGCCATCTTTCTTTATGGTAGACTTAATGTCAACTTGTACTTTGATTACATAAATAAAGTATTGATATATCATTGTTTATATAACAAGTGTTGATTTTATCTATGTAAGTAAAATACAAACAATATTAAATTTATTAAAAAAAAGAATTAAATTATGTAAATCGTTCAATTTAAAAACTTATTACCTCAATAAAAATTTAGGAGTTTAATAAAAAATCTAAAACAAGTTTAAGGGCTTAATGTACAATTTTCCTTTTTACTTTTTTACATATCTCTAATAATGGGTTTGGGTTTTAATTTGAACCTTAAATTTACAAATCCATCCCTCCATACAATTCCAGGTCGAATCAAAGTAGAAATATTTTAGGTTATTAATAGGAAGAAAAGACAAAAGGCAACTAATGACTGGCTCCAAAAGATTCCTCACTAGGCTTTGTTTAATGGAGAAAGAAAGCACTCTCCCAAGTCAACCTTTGCCTAATTATTTTCCTTTCATCAAATCTGGCTTCTCATGTTGGAGTAATTTCAAGATAACTAATGATCATTTATTTTGATCTTTTAGCATATAGAAATGTTTTATGTAGTTCGATATGATCTTTTAATATAGACAAATATTTTATATAATTTTAATTATATTAAATTATACAAAACTAATTATTAGTTAAAAAAAAGTATGCTAATATATAAGTTTGTTTGTCTTTTTTTTTTTTAATTTTATTTTATAGTTACAGTTTTACATTTTGATACAATTTGTATATTGCAAAACCATGGACTTTTCAATATATCCATTTATGCATGACAGATTTGAAGAGGAACTATTAGAAAGTAAAAATAATTGAATAGAAACTATTTTTTTTTCTTTTTGCTGATGACAGAGAGATATGGTGAATAGAAACTTATTATTTTCAGCTTGGAATTGGTAGAAAAAAAAAAAAAAACAGTCAATCCAAGCATGAACATTTTATGCCTGAATTGATTGATTTTTCAGCCTATTCAAACTGAAGAATTAAAAGAGGTTTCACTTTTAGAAATGTTATCGACATAATAATGATTTGAATATGAAATTTGACAATTAATGATGAGAAAAGCCTAACAAACTCATGTGCAGAGCCGGCCAAAAATTAAAAAACTCATGTGCGGAGATTCTATCTATGAACTTGACTCTGCTTAGGACATGAAATTTCTTTTGCTCTACACCACATGGGTTTAGAAAGACAAATTGGGAGTCACTTTCCAAGTTTAAAAAAAAAAAAGAAAAAGGATAAGAGTCATAGAAGAAGACAAAAGGGTATCTCTTTTAATCTATCAACCTAAATTTTCCCTTCTTTGTTATGGGAGACAAGGAAGAACATGGTGGGTAGAAAGTGGACACACATCGTGTTTATCTTTTGAGGGCTTGAGATAATATTCTACCAAACAGGGGCTGTCTAGTTTTTCAAACTACATTCCCTCTTTTACTTATTGTATCCCACTTAAGGGTGTCCTATTGTCATGATACAACACAAGCTATGGATGATGGCATTGCATCTTACTTCATCATAAAGGACTAGTGTACTAGGAAATAGTCAGTTATACCTTAAACATTCACTTCAATATAGGGAGAATCATTCAGTTTCTGGAAAGCCCCATCAGCAGCACAAGCCTGGATGATGAATTTGAGAATAGTAACACCAGGAGGAATGTCAATTTCAGAAACATAAAAAGCATGCACATGTGCCACTCCAAGATACTTCACCCTGTCTTCCAGCTTACTCTCCTGTTTTCCATCTGTTTTTGTTGCTGCATTCTCAACATAGACATGGTACCTTAAAAATGAAGGTTCCTCACCATCTTTCAATTTCCAGGTGATGTTAAGACTCAGTTTTGAACCAGTGTTTTGGAGAGTTTCAGACTTGAGTAACCATGAAGTAGCTGGAAGAAAACCTAAGCTTTTCACGGAATTTTTAATTGTGATATGACCTAGTACTACATGATATTTTCCTGCAACTGAGGCAGACGTATTGTCTTGGTCACTGGATTCTGAATCTGGATCCTGTTTACTAGTTTTAGCTGTTGGCTTGTAGCAGACAGCATTGATTTCAGTTAATGTCCATCCACTCTTTCTAATGGTGTAGTCCATTAGGACCCATCCTCTTGCCATCTCTGGCTTTCTAACTTGATTTGGTGTAATCACTTCCGTTAACTTGCTTAATATATTAGTCATTGTCAGGGTTGCAAGAAGAAATGATTCCTTCCCATATTCCTCAGAAAAGAATTTCAGACTTAGGCCAAACAGAGGATTCTCTTCTGATTTCACCTGTACACAGAATTTGGTGTCATAGTAAGAAACAATGATTTGAACTAGGTACGATTTACATTGGCCTAATTCTGAATACCATTTCAATATGCAATTTTAGTCACTGCGAAGTGTAGCTTACAGAGTATGTAAAGTTGACAGGTGAATCCCCAAGAACAAGTTCTGCTTGGAATATCCTTGTTTCGAAAAATGCACCATTTTGAAGTTCCCCGTTGAATGTAAGATTTCCACCACCATTATAGGAGGCTTCATTGAGACTACCATATGCAAATATATGACCGAAGAGCAGAAATTTAGGGTTAGGATAAAGAAAGTTTCAGTAAAATGAATCAGAAAAAACAAAAGATTACCCAAAAGATGCAGTGAGAATGGTAAAAGTTTTAAGTACGGATGCATGCATATGTGATATGACTCAAGGAAGTACAAAGGAGCCAAAATGAATGAGAAGGTTATAGGCATTAAAGCTTACTCAACAAGGACTTCAATTTTATCTGAAGCAGACACGGTTGTATTCTCAAGATGAGGCTGTCATAAAAAGGAGTCAGAAATATGAGAAGCTATGCTAAGAAGAACCAAATAATTGACACTGTATAGAAGAGCATATCATAAATTCCCATAAAAATCTCTTCATAACACATACGGCAACGGAGAAAAAGAAAGTAGTTAAATTCAAAAGTTCCAACCGTATAGCTACAATGGAGCACATATGGACTAAAACATATCGAAAATCAGGGCACACCTGAAGTCCCTGGCACGAAATGTTATTCCAAGGAGCATCTGATACTTGTCTTCCCTCAACTGCAATATGATAACCACGACCCTGACACATATACAGAGAAAAGATAATAAAACTTTGAAATTAAACCTACTAGTAGCAGCAGCTACCTTTAGGTTGCATAAATTGAAAAATCCTAGAAAAATAGGTATAGGTGCAGTTTGACATAGTTGAACCTGATCAAAATTTGAGTAAAATGGTAATGACTTAGGATACTTTTGCATGATTCTCCATGATTTCTCAACCTCACCCCACCACCTGCAATGAGAAGGAGATTACCTTGTGATTGTACATCAGACCATTGAAATCTAATCAGATTCATGAGTTCCAGGCACTAAGAGAGCAGTGAATTACTTGTTTTGATTAGTGACAAATTGATCTTTTTCGAGATCCTCATATACCTATCCTGGAGCAAATATGGCTGCAGAGATATCGTTCTGTTTTATCTTTTCAAGGGCTGTGTTTACCTAACTGTATGAAGAAATATAATTCATTTAAAGGGAAGAAATTCTTCAACCACACTATTCAAAAGATGATTGTGCATGTTAACTAACAACATGACCTAGAATTGTCCATAAAATTACTAGAGCTCATTCCACAGGGCATGAATCCACAGCCAAATGCAAAAGCCAATCCAAATACCAATAAATACTACTCTAAATAAAAATTATATAAGGTGTGCATGGTAAAAAAAAAAAAATTAAACCGACACATACTTGCCACTCGCTGCGACGATTAGCTGCACAAAATACAGGCCTTTCAAATACATCTATCCCTGCATAGACACTGTGCTTTTTATCACTAGCAGCACCTGCTGTTATTGGTAGGTCCAAATCCTGCGTGGCGCATTTTAAAAGATCCATATCCAAGCAAAATGCAGAATCAAGATGCAGATAAAGACAAAAGATGAGGCAATACCAGCCAGTTGTAATTCAAAAATATCCCATCACAAACATCAAAGAAGGGTTTATTTTTGTCGTTGAGTTGATTTTGGTACTAAAGACGCCCCTTGATTGTAACACTATCGTACCTGTGTGACACAACAAACAACACTAATCAAACTTAAGAAGATTGACTGTACTCCCTAATCAAAGTAATTAAGAATGTAGGATTTCTTGACACACACCATATCACTAGAGATCCAGGCACTGAGGATTGCATAGTATGTGTTAAATGACTAACAAACTCTTATAGGTTAGGGATTTGCCCCTCATCCAAATCAACCTCTATATTGATCTGGAAGTAACATTAGTAGAAAACCATATCAGCTGTAAAAATGAGCTCAACGAATATTGTATCATAATAACTCTGAGGTTATCTTTTAACCCTTTTTTCTTCCTACAATATTCATGCCACTCTATGGTTCTGTAGTTAACAGAGTAATTTTGGCCTTTTGGAATATCTCTGTGCGCTTGAAACGAATAAATTTGTTTAAAGTGGTATCAAGGAAAGTGTTAAACTGAAAAGCATTACAAGGTTGATAACAAAATATACCAGCCACCCATCAAAGCCCAAACAAAAAGCAAGCTCTTTTAAGCGCTCAGCAACCTCTTGAGCAGACTCTTTTGTTGGCAGCATTTGATTGCAAATATCTCTCCCTTTTGTTGGGAAAATGGCCTAACAAAATAAATTAATTCCTGTGAACAAAACACGTGAATAATAACAAAAAATGGTGAAATAGGTGGTTTTGTTGACCAATATTAACGGTTAGTGATAAAGGCGACATAACCAATCAAGCAAAATAAAATTGGGTGATTTAATCAGTTACTTAAGAAAAAAAAAAAGAAATAAAAAGATAATATCAAATTTTACGTAAAAAACCCCCCAAAAACTATTGAGGGAAAAAATCATGAAACAAATTCCGAAAGATATTTCATTATGTGATAAAATTGTATAAAGTATACACTCAAGTATTTTTCTTTCATGGTGTTTCTCATTCTCTCAGGATAAACTTACAATTTTATCACTCAATGTACTCTCTTTATGAAGCACACTTACACCTAAATTTAATGCCTAACTCTCACCCCCTTTTTTTTTCTTTCACCTGGAGTTCTCTCTTTGGAACTCTCTCACTCACTTTGGTATTGCTCTTGCTTCTTGCTTGCATGCCTCTTTGCATGCATGGGTATTTATAGGGTAAGAACCCAACCACCCATGCATGATTTTCTTCCCTCATTATAAGCTTACAATAGTTGAAATAACCATGCAAGACTTCGACAAGTGCTGTTATAGTGGTGTAGGAGCCGATACCGAAACACCGATTTTGGCGAAATTGAGAATCCCACTATGATGAATTCGATTACCAGGTTCACCACTTAGATTGGCAAAACCTAAGATACAGAGATAAATTGAGAGAATCCATTCCCAAAAAACTCACTTAAAAGAGGAAAAATATAAACTAAAATTTTGATTGAAACTTGATACGTACAATGGTGAGAACATGGCTATTTATAGGCAAAATATAACGAAAGGCAATAAATGAAAAGTAAAGTGTAGTTGGGAGTTAGTAGTTTTGTAGAATTTAGTGGCCATTTTTGTTGACTTGTGGCCATGTTGACAAAGTTGCACCGGCCTAGTGGTGCCTAGGGATGTCAACGGGGCCC